TGAAGAAAATGGTTGGTTTGTCCTGTAGAGTTTCTATGATCTGGATTGTTGATTGCCTCCCAATTGTATCTTTTACCAAGTTTCTCTGTTTCCTGTGTTTCCTATCAATTGGAAATTAGATCTGGAGGTTTGATCGGGTTCAGGTTTCATTTTCTGGAAAGACTACTTCATGGGTGACAGTGGGTGGTGTGTTCTTCTATCAAGAGACACATCATGTCCCGTTGTCTCTCTTTTGGTGATATTAGTAGTCATTGATGGTCATTGCCTAGAACTATTATTTCATTAAGAAGATATTCTCATTATATCACTTCTCCATTTATTAGCCAATACTTCTATAGAGAGAAATTTCCCCTCATTGAATATTTCATTGTCTTAAAACAATGGAGTTTGCACAGGAAAGACAGGATACTTGCTTGATTCTTTCTTTTCATTTACCAGCATCCTCCAAATGAGCTTTATATAAGCAAGTGAACCTACAGCGTTCCTAGTTCCATCCCTTTGGCCAGGACTTAATCCTACACTCCACCTCACTGCCAGGAAGTCTAGGATCTTCAGCATTTAACCTGGGCAGCCAGGTGCTCTGAGAATTTCCTTATTGTACTGGAGAAAGGAACCATGGACCCTGAGTACCCGCTTTGTGTGCTGTTGGCCCATACCTGCTTAAGGGCTGAAGTGGCTTATGTCCCTTGCACTGCCTGGCACGCAGGGCTCTGCTCAGCGACTGCACAGTGAACACCCGAGTAAGTGGTCCAGCCCTCACTGATCCTGTCCTTTCCATGACCCAGCTTCCTAAGTCAGCACGAGGACATTGCACTCCCTGCGACAGCACACTCCTGAGCTGCTGCTGTTTTTCCTCCCTTTCCCTGTTTCCCCCTCCTTCTTCTCTCACCTTCCTCCTCCTCTATCTCTACCTCCTCTCTTTCCCTCCCCCTTCCTCTCTCTGCAGCTCCTTCTCCTTCTTCTACTTTGCTGCATTTGCCTCCCTATTTTCTCAGCCTATTCAGAATGGACCCACACCTTAGAGTCTTCACCTAGCCTGATCCATCCGAAGGGTTTCTTGAGTATTCAAGCTCACCTTGACCTCTGTCTGACTCACCATCATCCTGGGCTATGGACAGCCCCTCTTGATCACTCTTTATTTCCTTGCATTTATGCCCTGACTTCCCAGTAGACTGTCCGTGCCTGGGGCCATGCCTCAGCTACAGCCAGCTGCATCTAGAATCCCTGCCACATTTAGCACAGGGCTGTTGGGCCACCAGTCATGGTGGGTTCATTGATTGAAGCACAGCTGTTTTTCACAGCTTTTGAAAGCTGTGCCTACTTGACACCAACACAACATGGAGAAGACCAGGAATGTTATCATCTGTCTTGGAAATTTTTGATGTCTGTATCACTGATGTGGTGGATTTGTTTTCATTTGTTGATTAAAGGGCAATGGTGGTCATAACTTTGATCAAATGCTGGGCTCCAAAGGAATTGTTTTTGAAACAGATGCTTCTGGGCCTCAGAGACATGATGATCTATAAGAACCGTAGGTGGCCACAGTGGAGCCAAAAGAGAGTGAGGGCCAGGAACAAATGTGACGGGGCTTGTAGGATGACCCACCTTGTAGGGTCATGTTTTTCCATTTTGGATCAGGAATTACAGATCATTCTTTGCCTTTCATTTTTTATACTTCTTTATTCTTACATATTAAGCCTGCAAACATGCATTAGGTATTGATTTTGGCAGGAGGTGGGAAAAACATACCAAAAACCCCCCTGATGAATGGAATATTTCTACATATCTTTATAGTCTCAGACATCTGCTTTATGATATTATACTTCTATGAAGTTTAACTAATGGGAGGGGGAGTGGAAAACAGCTGTCCCAGCATGATGGGAAAAGATGGGAAGTAGGAACAAGACTAGGCTATTTGTTAGGAAATATGGATTCTGCTTCCAACTCAGCCATGAACGATTGTGACCTTGCTGACAACCTGCTTCTGAGCCTCCATTTCTTCATCCATAAAACAAGAGATGGGCAAGACAGTAATCAAGTTTCATTCTGGAGACACCACTGCATTTATGTCACCACTTCTAGAATTCTCTGCATTATTTACAGACTCCATAGCTATCTTCTCATTTGATCCTCACAATAAACCTATAAGGTAGTTCTGGCAGGGGTTATTATTATCCCCATTAAACAGATGGGAGTGTTGAGACTGAAGGGAAAGAAACTAAGAGCTAAATAGTCAGGTGGTAGTCTATGCACTGTGCAAATACTAGCTTATCTGTTCCTCACAGAGATCCTGTGAGGAAGGCTGCTGTCATCATTCCATTTTATAGATGTTGAAAGCAAAGCCTAGAAGAGTTAAATAACTTGCCCGAGCTAGGAAGTGTCAGATCCAGAATGTGAAGCCGGCCGATCTGATTCCAGAGTTTGTACCCTAACCAATCTCTTGTTAAAGTCATAAGCCTTGTGAGCTGCTCTGGTGTAGAGTAAGATTTAAAAAAAAAAAAGAAAAGAATGACCACCCAAAGTAACAAGGTTACAGAGGGATTGGCATACCACATATGTGCTGCTGATAGCATTGACAATGAGTTTCGTCTTTTTACAAAGCAATATGTGGCAATAGCCATAAAGTTTTCCAGACTTGTCAATTTAGAAATACTAATCCTAGAAGTTTATTCTAAGCTTATAGTTCAACAAAAGCAAGAAGCTCTATGCATAAAGAAGTTTATTGTGTGATTTGTAATCATGAAAAAGTGGGAGCAGACTAAGTGCCCTAGAATAAGATAGGATTAAGTAATTTCACAATACACCCACTTGTTGGAATATATAAAAATATTCTGAGTGATAATTACAAAGACTACATAAAGGGACAGGAAAATGTTTCTGATAAAATATTAAATGTTAAAAAGCAGGATAAAAAAACACATAGATTTTGATGACAACTCTGATATATATGCATATTGGCAAAGCCTGAACTAGAATAGGAAGAAATTCTAGTACTTAGGTGTTTGTTAAAGTCCTTTTGTTCTTTCCAGATTTTTATTTGTGTTGGTGTTATGTTTATTTAGTAGATAATAAGAAAAGTAAAGAGCTGGCAGCAGAATTGGGTTGAAAGAATCTTTTGAGGTGAGGCTTAGGCTGGTAGTAGGTTTCCCTTTGGCTGCTTTCATTCTTGAGTTGTTTGGGGACAGCCAGAGGAGTTTAGGGTGGGGAAGAGGACTCAGGTTAGAGGGGTCCATGTGCTGGTGGGAGAAGGATGTGACCCGAGCTACTGGGAATATGGGAGCTCTCTGGGGAAAGCTTCAGGCTTCAATCTCAGAAGTCCTTGAAGTCACTTTCCTGAAGTCAGCGGCCACCGCCCCCCCCCCCCACTGGGCTGGGTGTCTGTGAGGTGCCCCCTGGCACAGCACCCTGTGCTCTGCCCTTCTCTATGTGGAGCAGGCTCTATGGTGGTTGCCTCTTTTTTTTACATTTCTGAACCTCCTCTGGGCTGCAAGGGTCCGGATCTCAGGCGGATCTGGATCACCTCCCTACACCAGGCTCAAGCACACCATTGACTAAATGAAGGCTCCTCCTTTTAAGATGAGGGCATGTTGGGTGGAATTAGATTCCTTCCAACTCCACATCCTGTGATTTTTTACCATCTAGTTTTTTATAAGGCTCATTAAATAAAGGAGCCACTGGGGTTTGAAGGCAAGTCCCAATGTAGGAAATGTCCTCTATCTTTCCCCAAGCATTCTCTGTCCTTGGTGTGGACTGTGAGCCTGGTCTGAGGGTTGTGCTGGGAGTTTTCACAGCAGGTCGGCTGAGCAAGCAAGAACGTGGCCTTAGCTGTCCTCTTGACAACAGGAGGTGGGTTTTCGGGTGGGAAGACTCTTTGCTTCTGTCTTGGACAGTGACAGAGGACATGTGACAGGGTGGCTGTGCCTCCATGTGTGAATCTGCAGGAGCTGCAGCGCTCCGATGCATTATCTGCCTGCTGGCTGTGGAAGTGGGCGTGTCTGCACATGGCTGGGTGTACCTGTGTCAGAGTAGGGCAAAGGGGGCACAAGGGCCCTGGGTTTTCTGGGCAGTGTGTCTCTGTATAGATGGTGAGTGCATTCTGCAGCGAATGGGTGGTTTTCAATTCAACAAATAATAATTGTGAGCTTTGTGCTCTGCAAGAGCAAACAACCCGGTGCATCAGGCAGGGAGCCCGAGGGTGTGCATGTCTTACCTATGTCCCATTGTGTGTCCCCTCTGTGTGTCTTTGGGAATGCGTTCTTGGCACGTGTCCTGCGTTAACAAGGCGTTCGGTGTGTGCATGTCTGTGTGACAGTGCCTGGGTCCTGTTTGCGGCTGCTTGATAGCTTTCCAGCTTCACTTGTGTCCGCAGTCAGGCTCTGCACGTGCGCCAGCCTCTGAGCGCACGTCCCCGAGTGACCCGTGTGCGGTGTGCAGGGACCTCTGGGTCGTGTGCACTTCCTGCGCTCGTGCCCGTCTCTCCGCACTAACGAACGCACCTCCACATGTCTGGGTGCACGTCCCTCTCCATGTGTGCACGTTCCGTGTGCACGCCGCCCGTATCTGTGTGCAGGGGCGCTCCACGAGAGCGCGCTCCAACCCGCGGGCGGCCAGGGACCCGCGCTTGGCTCCACGCGTCCCGCGGGGCTGACCCCTCCCCTCGCGCCCCGCAGCCGGCTACGGCGATTGGCCGCCCGCCCCCTTCCAGCCGTCACCCCTCCCTCCCCGCGCCACCCGCGCGCCCGCGGTCCCCGCTGTCCCCCGCGGTTCCGGCGAGGCCGCGCCGCGCTGCGCTCCGCTCCCATTGGCTGCGCGCGCCTTTGTGTGGCGGCAGCTGCGGCCCCAGCGCCTTTGAATGTCGAGAGGGGCCGGGAAGGGAGCCTTTCCATGGGCCATCTGTCTCCCCGCCAGCCGCCGCCCCACCGCCGCCCGCGCCCCGCGCTCCGCCTCCCGCCCCGGCGGCTCCCGCAGCCCCGCCGCCGCCCGCGCCCGCGCCCCGGAGCCGCGCCACAAAGGGCCCGCGCGCAGCCGCCGCCGCCGCCGCCGCGCGAGGAGCCAGGATGGTCCTGGTCCACGTCGGCTATCTCGTGCTTCCAGTGTTTGGCTCTGTGCGAAACAGAGGTATCGCTTTTTCCTTTCGGGGTCTGCTTCGGAGCGTGGATCGCCGCAGGCACCGGGGCGGGGGCGGGCGCCGCGGGCGGCCGGGGGCTCAGGGCACACCCGCGAGGACGTAGGGCGAGCGGTGGCTTCTCCCCACTCCCTTTTGGGGGGACCCCCGAGTGTGGGGGTGGCCGCCCTCGTGGGAGCTTTTGTAGTGAAGTTAGGATCTGGCGAATTTGGGTCCCTCCCTCCCCAGCCCCATTTTTTATTCTTTGTGGCGGACGTGGTTCCCCCAAATCACAGCCCCTTCCCCTAATACCTAGCCCTGTGTGATCGAAAGGAGAGAGATACACGACTGTGTGTCTGTGTGTGTGTCTGTGTGTGCGAGAGAGGGAGAGAGCGAGAGCGAGCGAGCGAGCATGCTTGGTTTTCTGTGATTTGCTTTTTGTGAGGTCTATGTGTGTTTTGTGTTATTTGTGTTTCTTAATTTTTTGGCCATTAATACCGAGGGCTGGTTAGCCGGGATCTGGGTATCTGCCCTATCCCATGCCCCAGCCCCCACCCTCTCATGGGCACTTGCACGATTTTCCGTCCCATCCTTTTCTCCCCTTAACCCTTTTTGTGTGTCGCCCTTGTGCTATGGCCCTGCTCACCCCGCCCCCCGCAATTGTCTTTGTATGACAGTTGCATTTACGGGTTCAGGATGCTTGGTGTGTGTGTGTGTGTGTGTGTGTGTGTGTGTGTGTGAGAGAGAGAGAGAGAGAGAGAGAGAGAGAGAGAGAGAGAGTGCATGTGTGTGAGTCTGTGCGCGCGCGCCTCGGAGAGTCAGACGTGCGCTGATGTGCACCTCTGGGCCCGGCCGGAGCGGGGTATCTGGCCCTGGGGTGTCGCGCTGTGTGTGCGGATGAGGTGGGAAGCTGCCCCCACGCCAGGCCTTTGCCCCGGGCAGCGGTTGACAAAGCAGCAGGCCGGCGCGGGCTTTGTTTTTAACTGTGATATATGGGGTGTGTTTGCACGGTCCCCCTCTCCCCACATCCCCTCTCCCTTACATTCTGCTACAACGACAGCTTGATTTTCCCTTCTCCCCTCCACTCCACATTTCTTCCATTTTCTTTTAATAAAAAATTCCCACCTCCCAAAGCAAATCCGAGATGCATTTAGATTCATTTTTATTTTTTTCTTTTCTTTTTGTATTCTGCCTCTGGACTCACATTTCTCTTCTTGGAAATGTTTCTTCTGTCCTCTCCCACTCCACGTCTGCTTAAATCCCTGCTGGCTCAGGCCCCCTCCCCCCCACTCCCTCACACACAGAATGATGTCTTCCCTTTGCCACCAGGGCTCCCTCACCAAGTCAGGGGGGGTGGGGTCGCAGGGCCAGCACTTCAGTGCGCCCCAGGGGCCCGACTGGGCAAGACAAGGAAAGCACAGCCCTATTTCTTCCAGCCCAGCTGTCCCCAGCCCCGCGCCTTTCCCCAGAACCCAAAAGGCAAGGTTGGCCCCCTTAGGCCTGTTTGAACCGCAGTTTTTTTGTGTGATGATAGAATGATGACATTCTGCATTTATCAAATCTTTTTTTTTTCTTCATTGTGTAGCTCAGTGAATGGTCAACTCGCTGCTGTGTGCGCTGTGACCCTTCTGCCTCCGCATTTAGCTGTATTGTGACACCCCTCTTAACCATTTCCTGTCTCCATCTGAGGAAGGCATTGCTATTTAAGCGGCAGTATCCCCTATCTCAGGCCAGCCTAGCCATGGGGGGCAGCGGGGGAGTGGGTGTGTGAGGAAGAAGAAGGGGGGGGTGGTTGGATGAGTTCTTGAAATGCCACCCCCTCCCCCAGTACACAATTATCTCTTATTACTTGGCATTTCCTCTTAAAACGGGTGTGGAACATTACACTAGGCAGAAATTCAAAAATGATTAAGAAGGATGTTGAGCCTGAAAGTATAATTATCCTGATTAAATCATTATCATCCTCATTAATACCACCAATCTCTAAATACCATTGCAGGATGCCGATTCCATGTTTTGAAATTCAAATTGCTCAGCTGCCTTTAAATTTTATTTTTAATACTCCTCCCACCCCTCACCCCCCACCAAACAAAAAATCCAACAAAACAAATTTCTGCCCATCAGTTAAAGTTTACTTTCACGGCAAACACGCCCACAGGAAATTCAAGGGCTGAGGGGTGAGTTGGCAGTGGGTAAAATTTAGCACAATGTGATAAGAATTCATGACCTTCCGATAGAGGATACTAATGCTTAACTCAACAAGGTCCTAAACCACAATCTTCTTGTAAAACTAGTAGATAGTCTGCCAGCTTAAATCTGTTCTTTTTAGTTTTCATTGTAGTAGTGTAGGATGTAGGCCATTTCAGAATAGATGTAGAGAAATAACCATTTTTGTATCTTCATCTTGTTTAGCCGAGTACATTGCACTGTAAATCCCTGTTAAGTGGATTCCTTTTGCTTTGGCTTGGAGGCTGCAGCACCCCATTTTCCAGTTATCTGGGTGGCCATCAGCTGGCTTCCGGGCAGCACCCAGGCATAACTGAGGATTCCATTTGGTCGGAGGCAAAAAAATATTAAATATATAAATTAAAAAGAAAATCTTTGATGAAATGACAGTTGCTGCTATTCCATAGCCTCTGAAAATGTGGTGCACCAAGGTCCCTGGCTTAAGGGGGAGCCGTGGCCATAGTGTCTTAATTGTTTAATTGTACAATGTCAAGAGCATCTTTGGACATCCGCCCTGGCCCTCAGAGCTGCCCCTCTAACAGCCGGTTCCCTTCTGCTGCTCGCCAGCCAGACCTGCTCGAAAACTGAAACAAAACAGCAGCAATAATGAAAGAATAAGGGCCCTACTTCGAGGGCCCTTCCAAAATAAAGTCCCAAGTAGCCTCCCCAGACTGCCATTTGGCAATTTGAAAAGAAAAAAAAAAAAAAAAGAAAAGATAAAAGAATCCCAGCAAAATGGTTTTCCATTAAACAGGGGTAGCGTGTTCTGCTGTGCTGAATTACTTCCTGTTCTTATTTTGTGGGTAATTTTTTCTGTATCAAATATCCTTTTGGTTGTGTATCTCTTTCACCTTTTCTTGTACTAAAACTAAAGCATGATCTGTATTTTTTTACATCCCCCAGTTGACAATGTACAGCGCTCGGTTAGAGATGTTACCCTGCTGAAACGTACTGTGGTCGTGTAGCCCGGCCATCTGCTCATTGTACGCTGCTTTTGTTCTGTTGCCCTTCCGAAGCATGGTGGGCCCAGCCTTTTTTTTTGTATCGTGTGCATGACGACATTGTTACACACAGAATCCACTAATACTAATATACAATCTCTCAATAAAGAACTAGTTTTCCTATATTAACCTAGTGTGCTTTTTCTCTTGCTGTTTTCCCATTTATTGTCGTATCCTGCTGTTTAGATTCCCCCCCTTGCTTTTCTATCCCCACCCTCACCCACCCACCACCCCCACCTCCCATTGTAAGATTTGAGTGAATGCCTTTTCTTTTTATTTTCCTTTTTTTTTTTTTTTGTGGTACAGATATGGTGACTTTAATCTCATTTAGTCCATATCTTTTCACAGTAGACGTCTGGGGCCATAGGAGGGGTGATTTGTCCTGTTACACTGCAACAGCTCACCTGCGTTAGAGAGAACCCCTATCTTTGGCCACCTGTGTACTCAATATCTTCCACATTCCATCTTAGATTCCAAGCTACATGGGCACTGGGTGAATGACGCTGGTGAAGCAAAGGGGATATAACACTTAGGTTGAGAAAAGGGATACTGTTCTTAACTAGCAATCTTGTAGCATTTCAGACTCGCCTGAAAAACCCATTTTTGAGTTGTGTTTTAACTTTTCTGTTTATTGTCTCATTGATTTACTGTCCTTATAAAATCATGCTGGGGGTGATAATGTTCCACGTAGTTAAAACCTTGAGACCTGGAATTATGAAGTACCCTCTTCTATGTGCATATTTAAATTCTTGGGACCTGCAACCTCAGTTTCGCATTGAGAGCCTGGATGAGGAAGATGTTTGCAACAGAAACCAGCTCCGACCACCCCCACCTCCACTCCCAGGGCCTGCAGCCTGACCTGTTACTGTAGGAATAAGAGGGTCTGTGCCCTCTGCAGGTTGTGAGCCAGTGAAAGCTGATTATAGCCTCCTTGCCTGACAGCTGCTTCATCTGTGGCCCTAGGGCCTCTCTTAACAGGAAGAAAGCCAGATCTTGGCCTTTGTCTAAGTGTGGGGGTGGGGCTGGGGGTGGGGGAGATCAGGAGGGAAGTCAGGAGCTACCCCCAAATTGAATTGGAAGGAGAATGCTTAAAATGTGTCCTTTTCCCATAATCCCATTGGGGAAGCCAGTGGAGAGGTATTTTTCCCCCAGAGTGGAACCCAAATTCAAGCATTTGTCAGTTACACCTATTCAGTTTTCAGCCCAGAAGAAGCCTTGTTAAATGCGGCATTTTAGACACTGAGGAAATCAGTTGATTAAAGAAATCCATGGTCCCTTCAAAGGGTCATCATTTTGGAGCTGCTGCTCCAGGGCTGACTCCTGGGCTTACCTCTGCTCCCCCCGCAGGTGCACCCCTGCCCGGCCACAGTGCTTCCTGGCCTTCTGTGTGGCTCCCTGCAATCCTCCTCTCCCCCACGCTGCCCTTTCTGCTCTGGCCCTTTGTTCTCGCGCTCTTCCCAGCCTGGGTGGGAAAGCTGAGCTGATTTACTGTGACACATGGACACACATGGATGTTCCCAGTGGAGGCTCGTGCTGTAGTTTGTGCAGGAGGAGATACGCAGGTCCACAGGGCTGGTCCTTCGAGGATTTTGTTTTTCCTTTTTTGAAAAAAATTTTGGTTTACATGAGACATTCAATTTTGTTCCTAGTTTGAGAAAGAAATAAACCACCCCAGTCCAACCCCAATGATAATAAAACTACCCTAAATCAGGTGATTGCCCTCATTTTTGTCCTGGAGAGCAGTGGCTCCTTAGATCAGTATTAACCAACCCCAAGGTTTCATGTTT